TTGCAGCATGTTCTGTATGTTATTGTTTTCTTCTAAGGCCGTCAATTATTAAATAATAGAAAAGCAAATTTTAAAGGAATTTCTCTTGGTATACCATGTCAATGTGAATATATGTAAGATCTTCTGCTTGCGGACTACGAACAAAACCGGGTGCTTGGCTAATGATTGCAAGAAATGCGCCAAAGTAATGTAGATAGCCGACTAAATAATGTACAAAATTGATTTTGGCTTGTTTGGAAAATACTTGAATATACTGAGTTTCATAGAAACGACGTGCACATTGCAATGTTAGCAAAAAGGTTGTTTGAAGTGCTGTAAACGCTGATACTAAAAAAAAGTACAAATATTTTCAATCGGTAATTCATGACACATTAAATTTCATCAACTTACTGTTCGCAACACGATCTTTTCCATATAAGAAATCTAATGCATCGATGACGAATCCGGGCACCGTTGTACCCAGCACATATAAGTTGAATGTTAAACTAAATATTAGAATAGCCCATACAATGGCAAACACATAAAAGTGCTTGAAATATGATTTGGGCACCTCGGATGCTTGTACAACTCGTGTCGGTTTACCTAGGGTCGATAAGAAGAAAAGAATGGAAATTAATTAATGGAAATTGATTAATGGAACAGAATGGAAAATGAAATTAGAAAAAGAAATTATATAGTTTAAGCGCAAAATCAATGACCACAACAAGTTGACAACATTGCTTTAATTTGAGATTTGGTAGTAGTAGTAGTAGTAGTAGTAGTAGTAGTAGTAGTAGTAGTAGTAGCGTTGATATCGTTGATCACCGTGAAAAGAGAAAAAAATGACATTTATATGCGCACAATGGAATAGTACTGGTTGCAAAGGCCACAAACTATCAATCAGAAAAAAGAAAGAAAAGAAATACAAAATAAATTGTGGACCGGTTCGTAGTTGGGGCAAACTAGAAAACTGATCGGTACAAATTCGATACTATAGAATTAATCTACATTCCACAATGAAGAAAATGCAATGCAAAAAAAAACTTACCGATCCTTTGTATTCATATTTTCCGGACTCTGACATCGCTTGTGGTCGGTTTGTGACCGATTCCCAGTGTAAGAACTAAAATGTGTCCATATTCTTCTTCGTCATTTGATGTGTCCGATTTGTTGTTCCTGACAATGAATGAATGTTTAAAACAAAAAAAAATATGAAAAAAAATCTTAAAAAAACATTCAATTGCATATCGTAGTCAAAGTAGGCTTTGAAAAATCATAAGAAACTGCGTCGCACTATTGGCTAATGGTACCGTAATCCACTGTGCGCAATGTATTGTGTTCAATGTGTTTCTCTCTATCTCAATCTCATTCTACGATGCAGTCAATTTTTCATTTTTTTTTAGAAAATTCTGTACTAATACTTACCGAACACTTTTTTGGAGAACCGATAAAAATTAAATTCGACAGAATATTTCACTTTCAATATAAAATGAAAATTTATGCGCAGCAATTTTAGTTCTTACACTGGGAATGGTTCGACACGATGTGACTTGTTGCCGGCCTGTTGGTTTGAAATTTAACAGTCAAATACACTCACACTAACACAATCAAATCGGTTTGTCGGTGACAGTAGCCGATATGGAACAGCGAATGCGTTGTCTACGATGCAAAATGACAATTACCTTTTGTTGTTGTTACTTGTGTCGTATGTCCGTAAATTTGCAGTACAATGTTGTCGCTGTGACGATGCTCCGATGCTGTTGTGCGTACAACATATCCACTACTACTAAATCTCAAATATTTGTCAGCAATCTGTTATTTGCTGTTGCGGATTTGTGTCTTTCATATGTGTCAAACTATATAGTTTCTTATAATAGAATCAATGTGTAATGGAATAGTAATTTTTAAGTAAGTATGCCTGTCGGATTACCTTTGTATGCATGTTTACCATAACGGAATGTTTGCAATAGCACTGGTGGTATATTGCTCTCGCTGACATTTATGCAAATCGCAAATACAACAATGGTCAATATAAAATATATGAATATTAAATCGATCCATCCCATGTTTGCACTGTTGTCGATAAAAATCACGCGCTCTTTATCAAACACACACACCTCAATCAAAACAGAACAAAAATCTCAATATTATTCCGAATCACAGTTGTGGTCTTGACATTTGTTTGAAGAAACTGGCTTTATGATCGGTTGACCGTAACGTATCTATTTTGAAGAAGACGAAAAGATTAATTATAAAAAATTAGTATCATGCTTGGTTATCTTTTAAATGATTTTTTTGGTAAATTTTTAATTGTCATTTATTGCCGGCACTTGTGACGTGTTACTGCTGCCGTCTATCAGCTATTTTTTGTCTTTCTATTTCAAGTGATAACGCATACACACACACACATACATACACAGACGCATGCAGACGCCAATTATGAATGGACACACTCTCTGAGACTAACATAATAATTTTTAATGTTTATAATATGAGAATTGATGATGGTGACTTCATATTTTGGTTACATATTCGTCACATCGTTGACATTCCAAATCAGGCCTACCTAATTTTCCATTTTTCAAATGCGTTTTCTTTCTTTCACTCGGTCACTGAGTCTCGGTGAATGGCGATTAAGCTCTAATTAATGTTTTTTTTTTTTTGAAAATAAAGACTCACAGAAGATTAGACGAGTTTTGTTCAACTATGGGATTGTTTTCTACCACAAATCCATCATCGTTTTCTCGAACCATTTGATATTATGCATAAAATCAAATACAACTATGTTTTGGCGCTTTCTTTGACCTCATTTTATCAGATGAATTCTATGTGTTTGTGTGTATGTATCAGCTTCACTTTACTTTAGTTTTTATCTTCTCTTCTCTATACAATCGCTACAAATACAATATTACAATGTATGTTACATTTTATGTCCGGTCATTTTGATTTTCACGCTAATGTGTTTCGGTAAATAGCTTGAGGCTACTCTCTAATTTTTGTGGGTATTTTTTAATTGCCACGAGACTCGATACGCAAATTTAATTGGATTATTTTTCACTGACAATAGAATAGCTCTATTATCTAGATAATTTGAAAACTCAACATTAAACTAAAAAATCATTTTAATGTAATATATGTTGTATATTAGATTAAAATGTTAGATTAATGATTCAATTTAAAAATAAAATGAGAGATTATTGACTAGATTTAAACAATTTGATTGTTAAAAAGTTTGAACTATATTCTATTTTCTAAAAAAGTTTGTTTTAGTTTCCTTTCTTTTTTGATAACCGTACTCTTTTCTATTTGATTATTTTCTACGGATTATTCATTCATCTCTATTCTTCAACGACTTTTAAAAAACTGAGATTAAGATGTTAATTTCGTTTTCAACAATTAAGCACAAACTGAAAATAACTAATAGCTTATTAAAGTAACTTCGAAACTTATGATATTTCAGTTGGAATTGGAGAATAAATGTAACTTGAAACCATAAAATTTAAACTGATTTTCTAGTTCAAACTTTACACTAGTTCAATCATCACACAAAATAAAAAAAAAGTAAAGTAAAAAGAATTTAGCTTTGTAATGAAAAAAGTGTGTAATTAAAAAAATGCTTGAAATGAATCACCCGAATATATAGAGTATCTATTTGATTTGAAACAGTTCGACGATCGGACAAGTTATGGTTGACGTATGCCAGACTAATATGCTATGTCAGACTGATCAGAATTGAAATGGTATGGTGATTGCCTAGCGACAAAATTAAACGAAAAACATAACTAATACCCAAATAACAAAAAAGAGAAGAAGCGAAGAGGAAAATATAAAAGACGAATCTTTGTCGTTGTCGTAATATTCATCAACAGCGAACGTTAAATATATTAACAAAAACAGCGAAAAAGTGGTAATCAACAAACAGAAAGCAAAAATCACTTGGCATGAGTAAAAGTGCAAAAAGACACACGCATTGTTACAGAGATATGCTTGACTAATATGATCACTAACACAAATTGGAGGAACTTGAAAAAATTGAGTTGAGAAATCTTGATTTGTGGTTTTAGGTTCAGTAGGAATCATTCATGATTGGTTAGCATTAACATGAAATTTTGGACATCGGCCAATATGAACATTTTTCAAACACCAACAATAACAAGTGGGTCGAAAACTCATCTTTTTTACTGTATGTTTCTGAATACCTCATATTTTGAAATTTTTTGTGTCTGATGAAATAAAACTGGAATTCAGTCAACACATCTTACAAATTTTGCAAACCAGATTTTTAATGCCGCATCAACAGCACCACACGTAGACACATATACATCTAATAGGTATTTGGTAATTAATTCAATTCTATGGAATAAATTACACACAAATGAATGCCTAAACAGGTACAGAAATAAATAAACAAATATGGATAAAGAAAAGTATTCGGGTGATTCGATGAAATAAAACAGATGTTAGAATAAATAATATTTCAAGAGACACATAAATTTACCGGTTAAATGGTTTTAAAACTTATATTTTATTTCAAAGAATGTGAATGTGAAAATCATGCTTGTTTACAATTTATTCATTCCCTTTTGAATTATCCATATTATGGACCATAATTGAGAACAAGGAACGATGAGAGGTGGGTAAATCGGTTGAAACATGCCTTACAGCAACCAAAAGTCCGTGATAAAATGCTGACAACTCTCAATGCTGTAATAGCTTTTCCTTCGTTCCGAAGTTATATGATATATAAAAAAACATTTATCTCCTTATTTTCTCTCGTGCTTGCGCTGATAATATGTCTATGCATTTACTCATATACACCCGAGAAAATTCAATAGAATGGCTTACACAGAAAATAACACTCACATTGCAAAAATACTCATATTACAAGTACTGTGTTTTCCATTGAGTTTGTGAAATTTATAAAAACACTGGTGTTCAAAAATATTCATGTCGGTCATTATTACCAACTTCTTCACACAGCGTCGTAGCTCAGCATCACTTTCTTGCTGTCACAAAAATTAAATTGCTGAACATTTTCTATACATTCATTGTTGCCAACATTTTTCTCTTCTTCCATTCGTTGTCATTTATTCTTTTTTTTATTGTAATCAACATTTTTCCAAATAATCGAAGAATGATTTCGTAGTTACCTCAAAATATCCAAGACATAGCTGTCCACGAACACCATCGATCGAACCGTTCGTTCGTTTTCAATGTATATTTTGTTCGTTCGTTCGTTCGTAGAAAATGAATTGTTCGGATTGTTCGTTCGTATATTCGTACGAACAACGAACACGTTCGTTCGTTCGTAATTTATGGAAATTTATTTTCTCAATGTAAACAAATATTGCGATAAAGAACTTCGCGACTATAAATTGGATGTAAAACGTCAGTAAAGCATCAGTATTTCATCGAAATCAAAAGTAAAAGATACATTGAGTTTTCATGTGCATATGATGCAATCGGACAATGATTTTCATTTAGATTGGCCATTTCGCGGATGCATTCAAATTTTTATGATCCACGAAGATAGTAAATTGACGCAACGTGACAAAATAATGACTAACGAAAAAAGTACGGCATTTCAAAGACCTAACAATGAAATTGGCGTACATAGTTTTGGCTTCACCGAATATGCCAGTTTGAACAGTATCAAGTCATGGAAAACTCACAATAAAATAACTTGACCCTATTCCGGAGATCATTTCCGAGTCAAATGGAACGTAAAAAAATATTACAAATTCCTATAAAATGGAATCTATTTGTTTTATTTATATTTAACAATACTTCTACACAGCATTATGTAAACATGGATGAGGTTTAGTACTAATTTAGGCAAATAAATGATACAAAAATCACTAATTTTACAAAGAAACGTATCATATTCATCTATAATGATTAAATTTTGGGTGAAGTAAGCGTAAAAATCGTTTGGAAAAACTTGAGAATCTTGCTTGACATCAAAATGAATTTCAAATTTTACATTGACTTTATTGTTGCGAAGACTAAGTCACGTTTTTGGGTTGGATAAACATATTCGGTAGAATACAAATTAAATTATCCAGTATATAATACGTAAGATAAATAATCATAAAAACGATGTTGGTTTAAAAATATTATTTATTGAATATTTTTCCTGTTGTGTGTACCAAGTGAAACGAATATTTATTTGGATGAGTAAACTGTGGATTTATTTGAAGAGACTCTCGAATGGTTGGCAAAGTATTTTAAAACATTGGTTTCATTGAACAATATTGGTGTGCATAATTTTTCAAAATGAACTGTATTACCTAATTTTTAAAATCGATTTTGTTCTAATGAACCACAGGTCCAAGAGGTTCACTACGGATAGCCTGGAAATCTAGTCTACTATCAATTGCTTCGTCAATCTGTCCAATGATTGCAATATTGTCGCCACGAATAATGTGCAGTCCAAGAACGACTTGTTCAATTCCGTTTGCTGTTGAGAAAACTCGTTCGTGTGATTCGTCCAATATTATGTTAATCGTTTGATCGAATCCCTTTAGAGTTCCCACAAAATTTCGACCATCGGCTGTTATTATTGATACAGTATTATTTACGTACGAATCAAGCGCTGATGCCATTTTTAACTAAAAAACATACGAAAACGAACAATCAAGTACACACTTTTTTAACAGTAAAAAGTATTTATAATTACCCGCTACAACAATTCAAATATGTTTCAGTCTTTTCTGGTTTGAAAATGATGAATGTTGGAAAAATAAGCGAAATGAAACTGCGATTTTATTTGATTCATTTAAGGCTATGTACATTTGACAGTTTTGATTTTTTGTAATACAAATATAAATGGCATGAGTACTGAATAGGCTTTCGAATCAGCCTATTCAAAATGTCATATCGAATTCCATTTTATGAATAACAATCATCACTGGGAGAGTGGAATAGTGGGGCAAAAATATCCATTATTCGCTGGAAGTGAAAAAAATTATTGAATAAATGTTAGTTTTTCATATCAATTTACAATTGAAATTTTGTGAAAATAGAAGTAAATTCATTCATTCATCTTTGGTTTGAAGTCGATCAATTTGCTTATATTGAAGGAAATTCGAAGTTGAATCAACATTGAAAAGTGAAAGATAACAACAATATACATCGAAACAAATACAACGTAGTTTTCATAGCATTTCAATAAATAAATAAATACACACCATAAACGTTGTAATTATTTTTTGTTGGCTAATATTTTATGATTATTTTCTTAGCTAACTGTACCAAAAATGGATAGTGTCGCAAATTTCCGTAATGTTACAATAAGTGAGCCACGAGTTTTTGGACCACAACAGCCCAGTATACAAACAGCTTTGGGCAGAGTTCCAGTCACAAGTATGAACAGTGTAAATCAAAATCGTACAGCGACTACAAATATCATCGCACCGCCCGTTCCACCCAGGCCATATTCAAATGCACAACCATTAGCGATGTATAATTCTCCATTAGGAATGTATGGTAGCACTGGCATGTATTCCAATTCAATGTATGGCAGCTACTCACCCTATTCTTACGGAATGAATCCATATGGTATGAATCGTTATGGGGGAATGTATGGAAATGGAATGTACGGTAATCAAATGCGCGATCCATTGGATCCAGAAACCAGATTTATTCAACTAGCTGAAGAAACTTCGAGACCTGCTTTTCAAAGCATTGAATCACTTGTGATGGCCATCGGCAATATTGCTTCCATGCTTGATTCCACATTTTTTGCATTGACCAGTTCGTTTCGCGCGATATTGGGCGTTGCAGCCAATATTGGACAACTTCGCGGGGTATTCGCACAGTTTTGGTCTACATTCGCACTGATACGAGGAGTTACGTGGCTTTATAGGAAGTAAGGCCAGTTTCATTTTGATTTATTTATAATTGAATTAATTGGATTCAGATAAAAAAATTCTTTCTGCGCAGATTGTTGTATTCGCTAGGCTTCACCAAAGTTGACCCATCGACGGCTCGATTCAATGAAATATTTTCAGCATCTGGGAACAGAACGGAACAATTGGCAAACTCCCCAAATGGTGCATCGTTGAAGAAAGTATCTGCTTGGCCAATTCTCACATTTTTGAGCCTCATTTTTGCCACACCATATTTGATCATGAAATTAATTGGTCAAGTTTCTACGACAGCTATTGAAGAATGTGAGTGAAACTTGCTAGTCACTCTAGATTTTTTTTCTCATTGGAAATGAAATGTTTTAGAATTGAAGACGACAAAAAAAATTTTTATTGGAAAATTCACTTTGAAGACCAATTTTTTCCCATTTTTCGCTCGCTCTTCAAACGAGGAATCTATTAATTTAAATTGTTCGAGTCAGTTTCCAATAATTTTTTTCGCTTTTAATTTTTAGCTCGAAATCCTCAAACTTGGGTGAATCCGTTTGTGGGTCATGTAGTTTATAATTACAAGGCAACAAATCCACATGAACTAAGCATTTATTCTGGCCAACTAATTCAATTGGCACCACGAGAAGTGCAACAAACGCATAAACTATTGAATACTGGATGGGCATTGGCAACAGTTGATAATAAAACGTCTGGATTAGTTCCAATCAATTACGTTCAGCGTGTAGAATCGAAAACATTTGTTGCGCAAACCAATGAATCTGAGATTGTACCAGAAGTACTACCGGATAATTTAATGGAAAAAACTGTAAAATCAAATGTAGATGAAAAAAATAGTCAATTGGACATTAGCAAAATGCCACCAAATTTAAATAAATTAAAAAATAATGAGGATGTGCATATGGATCCAATGATATAAAGATAACGAATGATATTAAAGATCTTTGAGTCGACATTTTCATGACTATTGAAAATGGGTGCATTATATTATCCGATAACATTTTGACAAAACAAATTTAAAATTTATAAACTGGTGATAGTCAGGCCATTTATGAATTCAACTGCATTGTTATAAAAAAATGAACTGATTTCTTAGATTTTTTTGCAAAAAAAAAAAAACAATTCAATAAATTTTCAAATTTGCAGAGAAAACAAAAAGTGATTTGTATTTAGTAAATAAGTTAGGGATTTTTCTATATTTGTTATTCACATTTTGATGAAGCAAGGATAGGTTTGTTCTCAAATAAATTAATTGGGCCAGTAGGCTCCCAAAACTATTTTGAAACGATGTTTTATTTTCTCAAAAGACTTACAGATAATATTTTAAAAACATATAGATTTTTTTCATATTGGATGGATCATCTAACGAAATGACTAATTGTGATCGGCCGTTCGTATAAGTTTTTTTCCGTTTTTATCATCGGTCGGTCGTTAGTTCGTGGAGAATAAAATGTTCGTTTGTATGTGCGATGGAACACCCAACGCGTCCGGACGTTCAGTTGTTTGTAGAAAAAAAATAATATTTTAGCAACTAAATTTTAAAACATTTGAATTTATTAAATAAACATTAATAATAAAATAATCTTTTCGTTAACATGTGTTTTTTGTGATGATCAAATAATTTTCAAGAAGATTAAACACATATTGTATTTCTGATCAAATACAAATTAGATACTGTTGCGCTCATGAGAATAATAAATTCAAACTTTTTATAATTTAGTTGCAAATCAAACGTTCAAACGGGTTCGGTGTTCGATTTTGATCGCACGCGGCGAACATTCCATTTTCTATGAATCACCGATCGACCGCTGATAATTTCAACGAGCGAACTATCAAACACGGTCAAATACTTCTGGACGATGCGACTAAATTTTACTATACAATATGTATATGTCTTTGTAAATTTACCACGGAAATTCGTGGAAAGTAAAATTTCAATTTTTTGGTCATTTTCGTGTAAAATATATTTATAAAGAGTACAGATTCCACATTGTTAAGTTTTAAATTTGTATTTCAATTCTACCCAGCAAACAATTGATAGGGCAAACAAATGCATCCATTATGAAGCACATATTGACGGTCGTTTTCGGGGTTAGATTCGTGTGTAGTTTCAGTCATTTCCATAGGTTTGGCATGGTAACATGGAAAAAGGGAAAGACAACCATTAGTATCAGTTGAACTGGGTATAAAATACTTTTTTTAAATTAAAAACTTTACTCACCTACGGGCACTCCCCCTCCGTACAATGTTGTACTATTGTACAACTAGACCACAAGACTTTATATAGTCTGTTCATGTCTAGCTACGCTAACTATAATAGTTAAAATATTTCATTTTATGTAATTTTTTGAATGTATGATTAATTGATGATGTTTGTTAGTTGACATTGTTGTTTTAGTCCGGCGGTCTTAACAATGAAACTGGCAATGGTACATCAAAGATCCGGCAAAGTCCTATGTAATTTAAAGCAAATACATTAAATAATGAATATTCTGTTTCCAATTGATTCATACCTTTGAGCATAATGCATTTTGCTGCAACAATATCTCGGTGCCAAGTAACTGTTTGTGGAACAACATCATCATCATCAACATTTAATGGCCAATTTTTGTAGGTAACTTTAACCTTTGACATTAAACGCCCAGTCCGAAGTTTTTCGTTCACAGCCTCACGATTGCCATCGATAATTTGTCGCTTAATAATTGCACGTTTTCTTCTCAAAACACGTCTGTTGACCGTTGACACAATGATATCTGGCAGTCCAGCGACTGAATCTGGCAGGCCATCAATCTTTTTCGCTCTACAATCGTAGCACACTTTAAATCGATCATCTTTTGTGTGCCTTGGAAAACGTTCCTGACAATTCGCACATGTTTGTGATGTTCCCCATTCATCTTGCATTTCAACTTCTGAATGTCCAAGTTTCTTAATGCTCACACGAAACTTACGCGATCCCGGACATCTTTTACGCTTTTTTATTCCAAACGGTCGATCGGGTTTCATCGCCCAAGCACCAAATTGAACCAACGACGGTTTGTTGTTTGTCACACGCACGGCGATTTGATCATTTACTCTGGTCGAGCGAATGTGATGGTCTAAATCCAGTCGTGCATATTCACGCGTCGCATAAGCTGCCATTCCTTTTCGTAACATTTTAATGCGATATTCAATGTATGATTTCCATGTTGAATTACGTGGTGATGGTGGACGATATGGGTATGTTTTGAGATGTTCCTTCTCTTCGATATCAAACCATCCAGCCAACTTTTTCGCTTCTTTGTCTCGTTTTTTCTGCTGAGTTTCCCAATGAAAACGCTGGTTTGGTATTATAATGTTTTCCTTCAAAATGCAAAATGATACAAAAAACTATGAGTTTCTATTCAAAACCATTTCAAATTACATTTCAAAATATCTTACCTCAACAGCCGGCTCATCAGGTGTTTTTTGAATGTTGCGACGCACTACAGTTAACCACGATTTTTCATTCGGATCGATTCCAATGATGTATTTCTTGCCAATGAGTTTTTCCGGCCCCCGATTCGCTTGGGTTGTTTGCTGTGGTCGTTGTTGTCGCTGTGGTTTCTTGTACATTATGGATATTGAAACACTATCGGTCAAAATCTGATGATGGAATGGTTTCGATTTGCCCAATTTATTTATTTTACCGACATCGAACAACATATTCCATAGACCTGATCGATCAGTTTGGGTGTAGTACTTTACTTTTCTCTTATTCATCCGGTTGGTCCGCGTATTGAGAAAAGAAGGCACCAAATCAAGTTCGTTTACAATTTTATTATACAAGTCCGTAATGTCCAATCGCACGTTTTTCAAATGGTAGTCGCATAATGGTATAAGAGCAAAACTGCTTATTTTTGGTGGTCGATTGATTGTTGGCTCTTGAAAGTTCGGATTGTTACGAAACATTTCATGAATGGTATTCCATTGTTCGGCATGACTGTGATACACTTCTATTTGCCGTTGCATTTGACCGAACAACCACAGTGATTCAAACCAACGATATTTTGCGAAAAATTTCATACTCACTGTTCCCGACCATCCAATTTCAGTCAAATCTCTCATTAAAATATTGAATTTTTCAACGCGTTGTGGATCCACATTATTACCATTTGTTAAATTCTTAAATCGATATGAAAACTCTTTGGCATTTCTGATGTCGATGCTATCAAATCTTGAGCCATTGTTGAATCGATTGCGATACCAACAACGCATTCGAAAAAAATTCTCAAGTCGTTTTTCACACCATGTGTTGGTATTGGTTTGAATGTTTGTGATATATTGTTTATAAAAATATCTCAAACCATTTCCCAACTTTTCATCATCTGGCCATCGGAACTGTTCTTCACTGTTTCTTTCTACCATGAAACGAAACTCGGGCAATATCCGATATTGACGTGTTGGTTTAATACCGCTCTGAAACAATCGGCAATGAACAGGCTTGGATGTGGTTGCAAAAAAAAAATGCACGATCGTCATTATCAAGTGCTTCATTCAAAATAAAAAGAATAAAAAGTGATGCCAATGCTGCCACTTCTGTCATTTGAACACTGCGCTCGAATAGCATTTTGGTCACAGCTTCTCCAACTCTTTCAATCCGTTCATGTTGTTGTCGCAGGATTGTTTGAAGTCCACATTTTATTACAACGTATTTGCTTTCTTCTGGTTGATTATCATCGAGCTCGTCGTCATCCATGTCTTTTTCTGTTCATTCTCAAAAAACTGATTAAATTATTCGAAAATGAAAAATAGACACAAATTTAGAAAAAAAATGCAACAAAAATAGCATAGATTACGAATAAAATGAGATCACAATTTAAATGACAATCACTTATATCACAATTCAAATTAATCACTTCTTACCTCAACGATGTCACTCTGTATTCTGATTCAAATGATGAAATGTTTTCCAATATTCCGCAGATGAAAATTTTGTTGGAATATTCACCGTCAATTTTATGAATGCTTTCTTATTTTGAAATAACAACAGAGACAATCTCAAAACCAACAGTGAATTTATCCGTTTAACATCGAACAAACAAAATCATTGGAACAAATGTTAGCCAAAAATGACGACAAACAAATTGTTTCATACTCTAATATAAACACTCACACATAATTCTCAAGGATTCCTTTTACAAGCAAAGCACAATTTGTTACAAACAAAAAATGAGAACACACTCATATCACAATTCAAATGAATAACTTCTTATACTATATAACGCTGTGTCCTGATTAAAACGATGAAAATGTTTTTTTTTTATTTTGAAATGAAAACAAAGACTGTCACAAAACGGACTGTGAATCTTTCCATTTGACATCGAGTGACTTCTACAGTTACGTTCCAAACACACCAAACCGTTGCTAAAATGACGATAAACAAAAAATGAATCTCATGTACAAGAATTCCATTTATTAATCACTGAATTTTGTTTTTTTTTTTCAACACAATGGCAACTTAACCATAATTACTTACCTTATTCTTAACAATAACTTCAAAATATTTTGATGCGAAAAAATCCCTATTTAGTTCGGTGCCGGAATTATAATTTCATACATTGTTCAAAGAAATTAATTGATACGATGCAATGTTTACGAAGCACATTTTGAATGTAATGAGAAAAATCGGCTTCGATATGATACACACCAATACACACAGCTACCAACTGTCAAATGTCGTACACATTCAAACATGTTTCGAATTCGAAATTCGAATTTGAATTATGAAATAAAAAAAATAAAAAAATGTTTCTGAAACTAAAATCAAATCAAACAAATCTAAAAAAAGGTACATTTATAAATGTATTTCACAGTCACTTGAAATTCCTACGCAATGTTTTTTTTTTATTCATGCACAATCGAAATACACACAGAGAGAAGAGAAACTGTAGATTTGTATTTTCATCCTCTTTTTTTTCCGGTTTGTTTTTCAAATTTCATTTGCTTAAAATCAATCGTATGAATACGATATTATGAACTCAACGAGTTTATGTTATTTACATTTGTTTACATTGTATTGCCGCTACAGTTTCTTAGAATATAATAACAAAAAGAGAAACAATCGAAACACACAGAAGATGTTAATAATAATAATAATAATAACTGCACCGAACAGCGTTCCTTCGCCTTGGTGGTTTATTGAATATATTTTAAATAAATACAAAATAATTATATTCTTACATCTAGTAGTTTTGAAGGAGATTAATAATTTTCTCATGGTCAGTATATTTTCTATTCAATTCTATCTATTTTGTTTTAAATATTTTTCAATTCTCAGTTTGACTGTTGATAAATTTACTTCTAAATCAATTAAAGTAGTATCACTGTTTGGTATTTTTTTCGTATAATAATCATTGAATGTAGTAAGCATGTAATTAATTGGTTCATACTTCGTGTAATCGCTTCTTCTAATCGGTATATCAAAAAGCGGCGTTGCACGGGTATTATGCGCTGAATCATAATAATTTAAACTGTTTGATATATGGCTCGACTTCATATCTCCATTAATAATTTTGAATATAAAAGACACATGCGCCATCTCGCGTCTCTCCTCAAGCGTAATCATTTGTAGAAACAGGAGTCTATGCTCATATTTAGGAAGTTTATATCTGTCCCAGTTCATTCTCCTTAGCGCAAAAAGTAAAAATTGTTTTTGTACTGACTCTATTTTTTTGCACATATTGTCGTAGTGTGAATTCCATATTTCTGATCCATATTCTATAATTGGTAATACAAATGTAAAATAAAGGCGTTTAATTGTCCATGGGTCAATAAAATCCTTGCTGTAGAACTTTAGCCAAGCCAATCTTGATTTTGCTTTAGCCGTGACATGCTCAATGTGTGATTTGAAATTCATTTGCACATCAAGCAACACTCCCAAGTCCCTTATTACAAAGACTCTTTCTATTTGAACGCCGCCTATGTTGTAATTGTATTCATATTGCAGTGATCCCCGATGATATGATATGATCTTTGTTTTGTTTACATTTAACTTCAATAAATTGCGTCCATAATAATCTGCTACACGATCCAAGTCATTCTGTAGATTAATGCAATCATCTGTTGAGGAGATACATTTTGAAATTTTTGTATCATCAGCGAATGAAAGTATACAAGAATCGCTAACGACGAATGGTAGATCAATAATAAACATGATGAACAAAGTAGCGCCAATTGGATATCCTTGACCCGTCCCAGATATAACTTTGATTGGGTCAGATTTGGTATCTGCTATCTTTACAATTTGTCTGCGACCAGACAAGTAAGATTCGATCCATTTTAACAGCTGTTCATTCAGTCCCATGATTTCTAGTTTTTGAATAAGCAATTTTAAGTTGACCGAATCAAAAGCCTTGGCTATGTCCAAATAGATGGCGTTTGTTTGATGTCCTCTCCCCATGTTATTAATTGTTTTTGAAGTAAATTCAACTAAATTTGTAATCGTTGACCTGTTCTTTATGAATCCATGTTGACTTTCGTGGATTATGTTTTTCAAATATAGATTGAGATGGTTTGTGACGATCGAATCGAGAATTTTTGACAAAATACACTGTAAAGCAACACCTCGGTAATTTTGAACGTTGTTTCTATCGCCGTTTTTGTAGACTGGTCTGACAAATGACGTTCTCCATATCTGCGGGACAGAGGCAGTTTCAAGTGATTCTTTTAACAGTGTTGAGATTGGCCCCTGCAATGAAACCAAACAATGCTTGATAAATTTGTTTGGAATTTCATCAGGACCACAGACAAGATCATCTGGCAGCATGCTTATATGTTGACCTACAAGCTCCTCGGTTATTTCGATCATTGATATTTCAGCACAAATATCACGTATTTTTTCTATTTCCGAGCTGTCATATCGCAGATCACCTTCTAAAGAGCTGTAAGCGTTGCCAAAGTGTTTTGCAAAAAAACTAGCAATTGTTAATTGATCGCTTGCTTTTTCATTTAAATAAGTCATCTCATGTGGTAGATCTTCACATTTCCCTTTTTTGAAATTTACGTGCTTGAAAAATTTCTTTGGGTCATCATCTATCTGTTTCTCCATCTCTATTCTGTAATCTCTGAAAGCTGAGCGTGCACAACGTTTATATTTCCTTCTTATTTCTTTGTAATGTTCAATTGATTCAACTGTGTTGAGCCTTTTTTTATTTTGATGTTCTTTGCTGACCATGTTTTTGTTGTTGTGTATCGCAACACGAAAAAGCCGAAAAAGTGGTTCACATTATGCCTATATTCTACCTTCCATTTGACACGAAAATTGCCACAAAAATGGGTTAAAGCGTTACATTTTTTAACGTTAAAATGTCCTAAAAACGTTACATATTTGTCCAAATCAATATGTTTGTGTGGTAATGATAAATTTCTGAAAACAGAAAAAATAATAAGCTATGTGTATATATTTTTCTGATTTGATTTTATTTTGAGAAACAAACATTTTTTAAATGTGCTTTAATGCATTTATTTATTTTTTATATCATAAATGCAAATTCGAATTTGGTTACCCAAACGTATTTGAATATGTATAACATTTAACAGTAGGTAACTGTGTGTGTCACATCGAAACCGAACATCATTTGTTTACATTCAAAAATTCACATTGTATATAAGTTTGTTCTGAATTTCACAACGTAAAGAATATTTTGAGTTGACTTGTATATTGATGCTGATTCATACTAATACACATTCTAACCGATTTTTGTCACTTTTTTTCATTCCTTTGTGACGTTGAAACTACACACAAATCCGGCCATAAAATTAACCGGAAACTTATGCCTGATGATGGATGATTGTGCTTTGAAAAATGTTCTTTGGGTTCATTTGTATTTGTAAAAATACTATGAACATCGATAGTAAATTTACAAAAAAACATAAATAGTATACTTGTTATTACAAATGATTCGTTGCAACGAACAACATATAGCGCCATCTATTGAATATTCGACTAAAGAAAAAAAATTCATGTGTTGAAAAAAATTTGGACACACGTACACGTCTCTCATGTACAATTGAACTCTCAAAGTATTGTATTTTATATCATATTTAATTTTTTTCATTTATTATATTTTATTTGGCGTAAACTTATAGTATTTTATGTCAATATTAAAAACGCGTTTGGCGCAGTTTTTCGTCTAACTTTTTAAAGTTCAATATTTCTCCGCAAATATGTACCTTATAGGCTTTTGATGGACACAAATGAGATAAAACCAAGAGATCCCTGACGTTTAAAATGTCATTCCTTTTCATTAAAACTGTTGCTCTATAGAACACGCGTTCTCTCGTGTGTGAAGCAAATTCATTGAAATTGTCTTAAAAACAATTAATATTACCGCATTTTATTCAGCCAAGCATTAAAATGGTTAGTTTTAATTATGTTTTCAAGAAGTGTTTGAATGAAAACTTTTTTGCTACAAATGATGTATCATAACCACAACATCTAATTCAATGTACCTATTGTGATTTTTTTTGTAGCCCAAAGCAAAGCGTCGTTTTATTGATAAAAAGAATGCGGTGACATTCCATCTCGTGCACCGTTCTCAACAAGATCCACTGATTGCCGATGAAACGGCTCCACAGCACGTTCTACTTGAATCAAACCAAACAACTCAAAATAGCCAAAAGAAAGAAGTAAGTGCGTCACATCACCCATGATTTTGTATTCTCATTATTGGACAACCGATTATTTTTCAGACACCAGAGGAACGTGAAAAACGAAAAGAAGAAGAACGTAAATATGGTATTTTCTTTGACGATGAATACGATTATCTTCAACATTTGCGCACAAAAGAAGAAAACAATGAATTGCATTGTGAATACATACCACCAGTTAATCTAAAGATCAAATCAAATGAAAATAATGAATCAAAAGCAAAATCTGTTGGTTTTACATTGCCATCGTCAGTGTTTGCATCTGAATTTGAAGAAGATGAAGGTTTATTGCGCAAAATTGCTCCACATCTGGGTCCTCGTCCTGATTTAGAACCAGAAATTGTTGCCGCACTTGATGATGATTTTGATTTCGAGAATGCAGACAATGTACTTGAAGATAATTTCATGGAATTGGCAATGGGTGATGAAGGCGACGGTGCTGACTTTGACGGAGATTACAGTGACATTGGTTCCGATTTTGATGACCACAGTTTTAATAATGATGAAGAAGATTGTGATCGTCTCGCACCATTACGTGGCCGTCGCATGTATAATTTTGATAGCGAAGAAAATAAATCTCGTTTTACAGAATATTCCATGTCCAGCAGTGTGATTCGACGCAATGAACAACTTACCTTATTAGATGATCGTTTTGAAAAATTTTATGAAAATTACGATGAACCAGAAATTGGTGCTTTGGACATGGAAGAAATCGAGGGTCAAGTTGAAATGTCGGGTGATCTATTGAATCAATGCATGAGCGAATTGAAACGTGATGTTAACGATTTACCATACGATAAAAAATGGGATGAACAACGTATCAAAAAACTATTCGAAGAAGAATCATCTGAAGAGGAAATGATTGAAATTGAAATTACTGAAGATGAACCAGACGGGAAGAGATGGGATTGCAAAAGTGTGCTCTCATTAAATTCAAATGCATATAATCATCCCAAATTGATTTCGGAACCACGTCGTCGCAAAGGATCAAAAATTGTCATTAATCCAAAGACTGGTGTTCCAAATAACGTTTTCAATGGCGAAAATACACAACTTACACTTAAATCAATCGCCAAATTTAACACAGAAAATGTGTAAGTATTAAAAATTTCAATTAAGTATTAACGAATACTAATTTATATTAAAATAATATATGTTAAATTGTTCGTTTTTTACTCACAGCAAGAATGAATCAAAAGCGGGTCCAAAATCGTTGTGTGATCAAAGTGTATTATCCACATTAAGTGTGTTATCAATAAGACCAAAAGATGAATCGCTGGAAGAGAAGCGCCAGCGTAAACGTTTATTAAAGGAATACCGAACTGAACGTCGCATCGAAAAGAAGGCTAATCAAGATGCATTCAAGGAGGAAAAGAAACGACAAATTCAAGTTAGCTTAAATAATCGGAACAATGTACAAGGCAATCGAATACTATAATACTGCCAAAAAATTGTACCATATATTTATGTTCTAAGCTAAAATAAAATTTATTATTAAAAAAAATATTTTACATTTTATTTGATTGCCATCCATTTACGAGTTCCAAGCTTGAAACTTTCAAGCAATAAAGGTGTTGAAAACTTGAGTATTTGATTGAAAAACTATTTTGTACTTCTTTTGAACAAATAATTAAACTTTTGAATTAAAAGCGTTCATGTGTGCTCAAATTTTAATAATAACTGCACCGAACAACGTTCCTTCGCCTTGGTAGCTAGGGGTTGGACACCGTTTGCAAATGCTATTCTTACTATTCTCACTATTCAGACGATTCCCAATATTCAATGATCTAGTTTATATTCTGGTTGTACAGTATATTCACAAAGATATCATTTAATTTTAATCTTTAACATTGAAATTCAATATTTTTTGTAATTTTGAGAAATTTAAATTAAAAACTAACACAATTTAATAAAAATTAACACAAATTTAACATTTAAATTTTTAATAACTACATGTCACAGCGGACGGCAGTTCGCGCGAGTGACGAAAAATCGAACTCGCTATATATACACGAAATATACGAAATCCAGATCCAGAAGGCCTTTGGTTAATATATGGTTGGGAAGGCCTTGGGCCATAGATCAAGAAAAAATATCAAAATTTGACAATCGGTCCACCTGTCTTAAAAATATGCTCCTTTCAAGAAAAGGGTTAAAATTCAGTTCTACAACCATAGATTGTACTAAACGCATCATGGTATAGGAATTGCGTTTATTGCGTTCGTGGAAAAATAAAATTACGTTCGCGTTTAAGAAGCGTGATATTTTTGTACTAAAATCATCATTTTGTATAAATTCTATATAAAAAAATTTTTATATTAAAATGAGATTGGAATTGCGTTCGAATTGCGTTCGTCATAAATGAAGAAGAATATTTTGACCTTTTTCATTTTTAGTGGAAATTTTGAACTTCGAATTTTTTTTTCGAAAAATACCCAAAAAAGAAAAAAAAATTATATGCAGTAATTGCGTTAGAATTACGTTCATTCAAAATCACTTTGTTTCAAGTTGATTGAAAAATTTGATATTTTTTTATAAAATATTTAAAATTACACTGTTGTACTAAAAAATTTTTTTTAACTCATTGACATTTCTACTATGAAAAATTTACTATAATTACGTTCGAATTGTGTTTATTACAAACCAAAGAGAATTTTTCGATTTTTTGGTTTTTTCCTAAAATTTCGAAGTTTGAACATTTCAAATTGAAAGATATGAAAAAATTTGAAAAAATAAGTTCGCAGGAATAGCATTAGAATTACGTTCATCCATAGGTTCTGACATAGTTCGCATAGATCGCATTGACCCTCCCCTAGCGTCCGAGAACCCCCTCTGGAATTTTGAGAAAATACTCGATTTTCCTAGGGTTTTCACTAGGAATAAAATTATTCCATTTTGCTAGGGATTTTCGAGGCCGAGCTCTCGAGCTATACCTCCCCCATCAAAGACTACTACAAGAGAAAAATGTATTCAATTTTGCTAGATATTTTCATAATTTCAAAAATATTACATTTTGCTAGGGTTTTTGAGTTTTTCACAATGTCGAGGTTTTGCCTAGCGTTATGCTCGCCTGTCGATCGCTAGGCGGTTATTACCCCAAGCATTTGCAAACATTTTATGAATCAAGTTGCGTTGATTGTCGTCACACGACGCTTGCGTATGATGCGGCATCGAAGCCTAACGCTATGCTCGCCTAATATGCTTGGGATAATATCCGCCTAGCGATCGACAGGCGAGCATAACGTTAGGCAAAACCGACACATTGGTTTTTCAGAGCGGGGACCCCCTCCTAAATTTACTATTGTCAGAACCTATGCGTTCATCGCAAATTAAGAAGAAACTAAACGGAATATAAGCTATATCAACGATAGGGGAAGGTGGGGCAAAGTTGACAGGAGGCCGCTGCGGCTGAATGTAATTTTTATCGGAGTCTAAATATAAATTTCAAAAGTCTTCATTCGAATGAATATTAAATGTTTATTTATGGAGGCTGAATAACGTTTTGAAATATTTCATTTGGCTGAATGTCAAGCGAGTGAGCCGTTTTCTTATCGAAAAAAAAAAATCTGAAAATTAGTAGGTGGGGCAAAAATCGACAGTTTTTGGGTGGGATAAATCCGCTATACAATACACCAAAATAATTTTTTATAGTGTTCTATTCAATTGCAATTGTGAAATTGACATTCTAAACGCAAAAACAAGAGATTGCGTTTTCTTTCTAAATGTGGCGAAATAGCACCGAAATGTTTGAATATTCAAAAAATATTTGTGGTGTTGCCTAATGGGACCCTAAGCTATTTCGAGCTTTGGTTTCGACAACTGTCAAATCAGCACAGTGTTTGTTGTGCAACGAAAACATTAATTCCGAACATTTTAATTCACGGTTTGAAGCCGTTTTTCTGTATTTGCATCCAAAAGGACAAAGAATGTCGATTGCATCGACTGCTACACACATTCAAAAGTCAAAAGGGTTCGTAGCAAAGTGGATCCAGGTCCTGGAAGCGAGCAAGTGTTCAAGCATGCTCGAGCAAGTAATAAGCCTTTTTTGAGCAACCGGAGTAGCAGAGAGTAATTTTTAAAGACTACTTGCTTACTTACTAGCTGCTCGCATTGCTCCAAAAAAAGCAAAATAAAAAAATTGACAAAAAATGCTAGCTTTGACAAAAAATGTTGTGTGTTTTCTGTTTATTATTATTTTAATTTTTCATCTTCTCATAAAATCGCTTTATATTTTATTAGATTTATCATAATTGCTGCTTTTTTTGGAGCAATGCGAGCAGCAGCAGCAAACTGAATACAGACATACTCGAGCAAGCATTCGTTTTTGTGCTTGGATTCCAGGAGTATAAGCATGAAAAAATGGGAACAATCAGCCCAATCTGAAGCCAAACCGAGCCTCATCGCCACAGCAAGATAAACGGATAGTCAAGTTGTTCGATGAAAATTTAGGTATGTCGTTTAGCCAAGGCGTTGAAAGGCTATACCATCTTAAAATAGATATCTCGCGCTCCACTGTCAAGAAAAGATTAGATGTTGCCGGCGTTTGTTATCGCAGTAAATTGAAGAAATCACTTTTGACAGAAAACCAGAAGAAAAACGCATTGACCGGGCAAAGCAAAATTCAACAAGAGATTGGACCGAATTTACATACACTGACGGGTCATTCTTTTGGCTGGTGAATAGCACTTCCCATGCCTAGTCTAGAGCCGAAAAGAGAGTGGTCGTTCGCTTGGTAAAGCATCCTAAAAAGGTGCATGTTTACAGTTGCTTCTGTGAAGCTGGTTTTGGAAAGTATTCACGAGGATGAACCAACTTTATTCATCGACACTGTTACCCACCACCAAGAAGTTCCATGGCAACGGCACTTCGAATTGGCTTCTATTAGAAGATAACGATCCAAAACACAAAAGTCTCCTCTGCACCGCTGGAAGGAGGAAAATTACATTGAACAAATGGAGTGGCCGCCACAGTCACCCGATTGCAATTCGATCGAAAATGTTTGGGATATTATATTATTAAGGCAAGGCTTCGTGGTAAAACACACCGCAGCTCAGTTCATTCATTCAACGCCAGTGGAAAGGTTTTCAACGTGAATATGCTGAGATTTTGAGCAAAAGTATGCCAAATAGATGTGCCCGTGTGATCGACAAAGAAGGAGAATGCATAAAATATTGATTGTACTCGAAGTGGCTTAGAGACCAAATAAAACATCAATAAAAATTTTTATCTGAACATTGTGTGTTTGATTTAAATTTTGTTTTTATGTGAGTTCAAATTTAAGTAAAAGATATGTAATAAATGCATGTTGTGGACCAATATTTTTCAAACACATTGTAATTATTAATTATCATAATAAAAGAGAACTCGTCAAGCTATTGCTTATGATTTGACAAATGGAAGAACTTGAGCGTAAAAACATGATGCAAATTCTTCAGCGTATATAGAGAACTTTCAAATTTTAGAACAAAACTGAGAGCAAAAACACAATATGAATGGCTGAAAAAAATCATGACTCAAATACTATGCACATTAGGGTGTTTCCACATGGAAAATATTAAAAAGTGGCTAGTATCATTT